AATGTTTAATTGAACAATAAATTTGTAATATTAGGATGTTGTTTAAGACAGCCTCGGTATCTGCTGAAAGCACATCCTTTGCTTTTTCCTGGGCCTCGTGCAGGAAGGGACATACGAACAAACTTCCCTTATTTTTTGACGGATCCACGATTTGTTCTTATTTTGTTAATACCCATTTATTCCTGGAATTCTCAAATGTTTTCTTACTTTGCTCTTCTCTTAGATAAGAAAAAATATTTACAAGTTTTAAATTGTAGTAAAAAAATGCATGAAAATCATATTAAGACTATGTTTTCGAGTCATTATAATGATTGGATCATTCTGAACAGCTTATATTTTGCTCGTAGATGCATTGGTCAGCAGGCCTCACACAGAGATCACACAGATCTACTTGATGAGACAAAAGAGCACTGCTTTTATGACCATTTTCGTTTCAGTTACTATGCTTCCCTCTTGAATGTAACTAAGCACATTTATTCAAGTGCTGTACTTAGGTGCAAATTACAGTTACTTTACCTAAGTATTTGAATCTCATACCTCTTTGTGATTCTACTTCACTACACTACAGACATATACATTTTACTCCACTGCAATCATTTGATAACTTAAGTTACTAGTTATTTTACAAATGAAGAGTTTTGCACATACAGCATTGAATTAACACAAAATGACTGACAACTATTTTGATAATTGTTTGTTATTTTCAATGGAAAATTTTTTTATGGTTCCAGCTTCTAAATTATATGGACCTACTGCTTTAACTTTTAATAAGTTTAATTATTCAACCATATTAAATTTATGTTATTTTGCATTGATCACTTTAACGTTTAATGGTACTAACATACCTAATTTTCAATTCAGGACTTTTACTATTAACAGTATTTTTAAAGTGTGATCTTGCTACTTTTACTTAGGTAAAGGATTTGACTGTTTCTTCCACCACTGCTGCTGACATGGCATTTACATCATCACAAATGTTTCCTGTAATACCAGTGCACACTCTGGACAGTCATATTTACTTTGTTAAGGGTTTATTGATATAAAGTGTCATCATTCAGCATATCTGAGTAAGAGCTGATTTGGATGGTTAAGAACCTTCCAACTTTGGTGCAACTTATCTTCCTCTCTGTTCTGTGATATGTGAGAATTTTAAAAGAATGTTGCTGTGTGAGGCCCATTGTGTGGAAATCTTGGCGCAGGTTCAACAAAATATTTTGTGTGACTCCCATGTTTTAGGCATATTTAGGCAGGGCTCCTTAAAAAGAGGGCGACTAAGTAGTACCAAAGCTTTTGAGACCTGCCAACAATACAGCAGAGAAACTATAAACAAAAGGTGAGTGTTGTGCTTCAAGAGATTTGACTATGACAGGTATATATTTCTTAATTTTTATGGGTTGTTTTCCAGCAAACATAATTTCTCTCATTTCCAGTTACATTCTAAGGACATGGACCTTCCTCTGACACTCCTGTTGATCTGTCTCTGCAGCCAAGGAGTCACTGTAAAGCACTGGAATTCCTTATAAATCACTTTTAAGATCATGCTAAATAACTATAATCTTTGCTGATTATATAATGCTTGTATAGATTGTTTTATAATACCTTTCTTCTCGACAGAGTGTTGAGGTGGAAGAAAAGGAATCGATCCCTTTGGTGCCTCTCATTCCTTTGATGCCCAGCCATCCCATAGAGGTTAGAGGCAAAACAGTTTGGAAGTTTTTTTCTCTCTCCTTGTGCTTGTGTCACAATTTGGAAAATGTCCTTGTACTTAACTTTTCTCACATTCCTGCCTTTAGAAAGTAAAAAATGAAAGTACAGCACAACCAGGAAGTGCTAATACGACAGAAGCACCAGTAACTGCAACAACCATAACTAGTAGGCCCAATGGGAGCTCATCGGAGGAAGAGCAAGATGAAGTTTGTCCGTCTGCCGCCCAAAGCCTACAGTCCAGGGAAGCAGTCGCTGCAGCCATTCAGAAACTGGGTGTGCAGCTGCTGCAGAACCTGGAGTCAACGCCAGAGCAGCCAAATGTCATCATATCTCCTTTCAGCATATCATTAGCACTCTCCCAACTGGCTTTAGGTATGCATGTCCTGATGCAGCATTTATATGACACATTGTATCTAAACAGCTTGCTCTTCACAAACATGCAGTTACCACATTTGATGAATTGTGTCAACAATTTGCCCAAGTTTATAGTCGTCTGGAGACTGCTGCCGCTCTCATCCAATTATTGCATCCCTCTCCCTTTACAGGTGCAGTAAATGAGACAGAGGAGCTGCTGATGCATCATCTCCATGAAAACACGCTCCCCTGTTACCACGAATCTCTGCACAATGTCTTAGAGCAGCTCAGAAACAATGACCTGCAAATTGCCACTCGTATCTTCCTGCGCCAAGGTTACTTCCCAGCAAATAACTTTCAACTACACTAAAAGTTTAGACCACACAGAAAACACTTACATCTCATCACTTCTCTCACTAATTTGTGCTGACCTAAAAGAGCAGGTTTGAGAGAAATAGAGCTGAAAGAGTGTGTGTTTATTATTTGTTTTAGGGTTTGAGCCAAAGCCAGACTTTGTCCATGAATCTCAGCGGTTATATGACTCAGAGCCAGCAGTCCTGGAAAGCCTGCAACAGATAAACGCCTGGGTAGAGAATGCAACAAACGGAAAGATGACTGACTTCCTGTCCGCTTTGCCGCCGAATGTGCTCCTCATGCTCATTAATGCCGTCCACTTCAAGGGTAAAATGTTACCATCTTCATGTAATTAGTCTCTTTTCTAAATAAAATTTGCTGAGAATACTTATTTGCCAAGATCCCAATGGAAACCAATGAAATCTCCTGTGTTTGCAAATTTTCTTTTTCATTAGCTACTGAATGTTTGAATAGTGCTGTCGACTAAAACTCAGACCCCATATTACCTGCAGGAGAGTGGAAAAGTCGATTTGACCCGCGCTTTACCTCAAGAGGTGTGTTCTACCTTGACGACAAGCGCATGGTTGACGTTGAAGTGATGGAAGATGCCAAACATCCTTTGAGTTTATTTACTGATAATGAACTGGAGGCTCAGGTAAAATACAGTGTCATCACTATACACTGACAAAAAAAATACCTGACATAACCTCCATTTCATTACAACACTGTTTCGTCTTCCTGCGCAGGTAGCGAGTTTCCCATTCCAGAAGTCCATGAACTTGTTGGTAGTCATGCCCATGTCCGGCCAGGTGAATTTGTCTTCACTTTCCGCAAAGCTGAATATCTCGGACCTGTATCGTCGTCTGCCAAAGGAGAGGGCTGTTCAAGTTAAAGTCCCCAAATTTAAGTTGGAGTATGGTCAAGAACTGCAGGATGTTTTTACCAAATTAGGTAAGACCTCATAATATCCCATGGTCTTTTTTGAGCATGCTACAGACAGACTTGAATTGACCCTGTCCCCCTGCTCTGTTTTAGGCCTCGGAGGGATGTTTTCCAGTCCCAACCTGGCTGAGATAGCAGACGGCCCCCTGCTGGTCTCCAGTGTGATGCACAAGTCCACCATGGAGATAAATGAGGAGGGTGCGGAGGCTGCTGCAGCCACCACTGTGGTCATCTCACGGGCATCCAACCCTGTATTCCACCTCAGCCAACCTTTCTTCTTTGCCCTTATGGATGATAAGACTCAAGTGCCGATTTTCATGGGGGTCATTAACAACCCAAATCCTGGAGCTCCTATCTTGCAGAGAGGAGGACTTGGAAGCAAAGATAAAGTGGGATTCCCATTTGATAAGAATCAGCTTGGCACATTTGGAGGCCCACCTAAGTAGGGACTAATACCTGCACTACTGTCCCATGGAAAACCCAGACCAAGATCTCTACAATTGTACAGATTAAATGTACAATATTTCTTAGCTGGATCAAATGTATGTGTGAGAACATATGCTTCATTTGTGTCTTTATTTCAATCAAGAAAAGACACACTGAGGAGCACAGTATTCCATGTAAAAAACAAATATTTCTTTAACAAATTACAGTTTTGCTGTATTAGATGAACTGGTCAAGCAACTCTCAAGATTATATTTAGTAACACTTTAAATTTTCAAGGTATGAAATGTAAGGCCAATGACACAGCTTTACTTTTGTATGTAGTTGAATTTTTCGAGATTTCACCCAATGGACTAATAAACTGAATTGATTTGAAACACAACATGTCAAGGTTATGAGTTTTATTGTCTTCTTGAATTAAAAAAAAACTGCTGATGTAATCTGAAGCTTGGTGAAACTAAGGAAAGATTATACAAAGAGGACAATTTAACATACCTAAATATCTAAATCCCAGTGATTAGCTAATGGAGTTACCTGTAATTTGGAAAATAACCTGGTCCTATCCCACTTGTTTTGTCCTGCTGTCTGTGGTGCAACATTAAATGACTGCAATAAAACTATGGGAATCGCAGGTACTTCATATACATATTTCAGTAAAATCTTATTTTTCGCAGCCATTATTTTTTAATGTGTTGTTATCAATTTGTCCTCTACATCTAATATTGTATTTACACAGGAAGAGCCTGCGATAAAATAATTTAGGGAAAAGGTTACTTCTTGCACATATATGCACATATATCTTTTTAAGATCATATCTATCTATGAGGTAATTATTCTTATATTAGTGTGATGACCTCATTAACAAAAACATGCGATCATTTAAAAAGTATCAACCCAATAATTTCCAAAATACGGCTGTCTAAGTTTTTGTTTACATCCTTTCGAAGATATGAGTTATGGCGGAGTCTGAAATCTCCCATTTTCCTCTGGCCCTAAACGCATCGTACTAAGCGCCTGACGTCACGGCATGCTTGGCGCTGAGATTCATGTAACTGGTCTCCGGTCAGTTTTACAGCGTTTCCAAGCCGATACATTCACGGTGCTGACTGGCTGCAAACTGAAGTCAGATCTGTGACCGGAACCGGAAACTGTAGCAGCAAATGCGACGCTTCGCGCGTTTGTACAAGCTGTTGGCGCCAGCGACATAACTGCCGGAGTACTGTCAGTGGTGGACGCGCAGAGCTGTCTGTCTGACATTTTGTATTAAAGTCGTCTTTTTGTGGCTAAATCACCTCCTCGCAAACATGGCAAAGCTCTCAGAGGGTGCCATAGTGGTAAGGATAATCTTTTCAGTATAACTATGACACTAAAATATGAATTTCAAAACGAGAAAGTGCATTCTTTGTTCAGCTGGAGAAGCTAGCAGTCACTTGTTTGCAGCTGATGTAGCTTTACAGTTTGTAATTGAACCAACGGCAGAGGTCAAAATAAGAACGTTAGCATTAGTCAGCTTAACTGACAAAATGTAGCTACTTCGCTGTTGTTAGAGTAGAAATTGAACTCTAATGTTAGATAATTACTTTGAATTGTCATTGGAAGAAAGAAAGAAAGAACGAAAGAAAGAAAGAAATGGTTTTCTAAATGTTTTTACCTTTTAACATGGTCAAATATATAACTTGACAAACGGCTAAAGCTAGTTAGCATAAACGCAGTAATTAAGCTAGCTATTTGTGTTTCCAGGCTCTATCAAATGGCACCGGTGGCAATGACGCAGTGCTGCAGTGTGTGGTGAGTAACAAAGAACCAGTATCATGAAATCTTTCCTTAACATTACTGCTTCACCTTTACATCCCTGCTGACCTACTGACTTAATTCATTCTGTATGTAGTGACAATTTATCAAGCTAAGATTGACACCACAAACACACATATCCCTATTGTCTCCACCTCTTACCTAGACGTAGGAAGCATTCTGTAAACCAAAGCTGGACATACTAACGTTACATTTCACATGACACACATTTCATAAATACTACAGTATTTGAAGTATTTCCACACAGTGCAGTGGGGTCTCAACAACAATGGACACTTCAGAGAACAAGTCCAGACATGATGTAGCTCACTTTATGAGAAGTAAAGAGTTTTATGTACAAAAGAAAGACAAGGGGCTGGCAAAGGAAATGACTGATATGCACTTTAAGTCTTGAATGCACCAGTCGTCAAATCTAAACGAAAGGATTGCTTTAACAGTTTGACTTATATCACCTTTCAGAACATTCGGAAGATTGATGGAGGAAATGGTCCAGCTCGCTTTCGGGTGATGATGAGCGATGGAGTACACACTCTGTCCTGTATGTTTTTTTATTTTTGTTATGATTTCTTTTGATACATAGTGGAGTACTTATTTCCCTCCAACGCAGCTACCACATTAATACAGGAAAACAGTTTGGCTCCATGACAGACGATGAGATTTGTAAAGCAAGTTATTGCAAATTATTGTTAATTGTTGTGACTGATATTTAGATTCAGTTTTATATTAATGTGGATGCCAGTACTCAGACAGTAAACCATCTTCCTCAGATTCCTCTGTTTGTTAGATTACCTTAATTAATATAATCTCATTAAAATGTGAATGTGGCTGCTATTTAAATTTTTTATTAGACACTAAATGTGCAATGGGGTTGAAGACTACAGCTGTTTAGGAGCAGTTATTTTCAAGAGCCCTTTAACTGAATTGTCACTTTTCTACACCTTTGCAGCCTTCATGCTCTCAACGCAGCTGAACTACATGGCTGAAGAAAACCGACTGGCCCCGAACTGCATCTGCATTCTGAAGAAACATGTGACAAACATACTGAAGGATAAACGGTATGCAGTTTTTTTTTTTTACACATTTCTTATCTTCCTATTGAGACTTTGGCCATTACCTGCATAATTGTGTTGAATATAGTGAGCGTATTTAGTAATTATCCTCCACAATGCATGGATACAGTGCTATATTCTGCAGTTAATTGTGATGTCTCATTACAGACGAGTGGTAATCATTTTGGAAATAGAAGTCGTTAAGCCTGCTGAAGAAGTTGCTGGAAGAATAGGTGACCCTACTCCTTACACTGATGGTAAGCCTCCAAAACACATTTCGTAATGTTTGCTGCTTACTGAAAAATCATATTTGTCTTGAAGCAATGCTCACTGAATGTGTTTATGAGGTGAGATGTATGTTTACATATTAGTGTTGTCAAAAATATTGATTTATCTATATATATTGATTCTTAATATTTGAAACCGTGTCAGTACAGTGGTACCAGCCAGAATTTCTCGTTCTCTTAGTGTTAATATTTACCGCTATTATGCTGTTCTCTGCTACTAACCAAGAAAAGAAAAGTTGTCATTGACATCAGGTTACAGCATGGTTTTATTTATCTTTGAATGAAAATGTTTAAATTGTATCCCCTCAATGTAAATTTTTTTTCCCATGGTATTGAAAAAAGTAATTATATTTTTCAAGGTATTGTATCGAAGTTAGAAATTTCAGTATTGTGACAACACTATTGCATATACATTTGTCTTATATATGGTTCAAAGTGTCACTGCAGGATGATACTGATGTCAAAACTTCTCTGCAGGTCAAGTCAAAGCCCCACAGTCTGCACCAGTCCCTGAGATCCGCCCTCCACTACAGCAGCAAAATACAAATGAAGGTGAGCGCAAGTTTTAGATTTAACCGGAATTGAAGTCCCAGTAAAAAAAAAAAAAAAATTGAGTGGTGTACAGTTATAGGAGGGATTTAAATCAAATGCTGAGCAATTTATTGGACTGCTAAGAAGTGGGTGGGCCTAGAGTGCTGCACTATGCCAAGCTACAGCGGAGTCTGCTGCTCCACACACACTTCCCTTACTGTTAGATTAGGAGGAGAACGAGGAAGAGGTGCATGATTTAGGCCTTAGCCACGTTGTTTTGGAAATGAAAACAAATGATTTGCCCACAGATACCTTAACACTCATCTCTCTCTATCACTCTCCATAATGCTTTGTTAGCTACCACAATCAACACACATGGTGAAGTGTGGTTTTATATGACTGGTGTGGCTTGTTAATCACCCAAAGTTGATTTGATTTGATGAAATTTTGTAAATGCCTCTGAATGCAGGATGAGTCATCAGAATTTTGAAACAGAAAGCACACAGAATTAAAACTGGAAAATTCATTTTTTTTTATTTCATGCGGACTTTAAAAAAAATGGCTGAACTTGTGTAGACATTTCATTTAGTGGAAAAATGTGCACAAATAGTTCATGTAACCACCAGATGGCAGCATTTCTCTGCTGCTCTCTATAATGTGGGTGACCCACAGATTTACAGGACACAAGTAATTTTGACAGCCCCGTTGAGAAACATTTTCATTTTTAGCTTTCTCAAGAGTTTTTTCACTGTGTTATTGACACAATTCGCAATTCTCCAGAGGTTCCCCTTTTCATGTGAGTGCTTGGTAGCATAAACTTGAACGACTGTGAGCCTGTGTCGATGGGTAGCTGTCTCTGCCTGTGCCTGTCAATCACTGTGTTTATCTGTTTTTGAATGCACAATGGAATACACAAACAAGCAAGTATGTAGAAACACAGACTACCTGGAGAGTGTATTTTAACCCCATGAACAAACATTTATTCTTCACCTTTGTTCATGTCAATGATAAGCAGTAGATCGCAGCATCACAAATAACTCTGACCAGGAGAGATTTGCAATCCGGCTGTCAGAGGGATTTTTCTGTCTTCTAGTGTGTGTCATAGCAGGTATTCATCCCTCTAATCTGCCATGTGGGAATTGAGGTTGTGGCAAGCACCCTCCTCATGAGCACAGTCATTGTTCATTTTTCTGTGTGTGCTGGTTGATCTGGGGGCTTAATTACCAGAAGTGCAGTGGTTGGCAAAGTGGGAGGACTTAAGTGGACACTTTGAACTCTAATCCTCCGCGTGAGACGCACACAAATCAAATGTGCAGCGCTTGTTCAAACGGAAAATCTCAAAGTCAGGCAGCTGTGCTCTCCTGGGGAAGAGCAGCTCCAGTTTGTTATAGCATTTCACACTCTGCCCTGATTCTGTGAAATGTGAATCATCCTTCTCACCAAAATGCTGGATCACACATCTCCACCAACTTGGCTTGACGAGATTTGTTTCCTGTTGGAGTCTATCCTCTCGCTCGACTCCAGAGCCAACGGTGGTAAATTTACTTTAAGTCATTAGGCTTTTCTTTGATGAAACTTCCCTCATGAAGTGAGATAACTACAGTGATCAAGCAGTTGCAATCCAAAGAAATTGGATTTTTGTAATTCCTCTCTGATGAATAATGCATGTGCCTCACTCTTGACTTCTCTCCATCACTGCTCTTCATGGATCATTTATTTCTCTCTTCATTCCTCCAACAGTGAAAAAGGGTTTCAGTAGAGACTTTGGGAAAAAAAACCCATCTGCTATGCCCAGCACTCCAGGGGGCAGCTCCAAAATTGTGCCGATCGCCAGCCTCAACCCCTACCAGTCAAAGTGAGTATAGTTCCCAATCACTGGGAAATGTCACATCATGACAAAAAGCAGGTATATTTGATATGTTTGGGACAGTCACAACACATCACTATATACATTTATAATAAATTAAAACTGGTGTAAATTAAATAAAAATCTCATAAGAGCCAGACCATGTGGAGTGTAATAAAGATATACATTGACAAGTCAAGGTTGGCGCAAAACAATAATTTAATACAATTCCATACAGTAGACCTGCTCTCTAATCTTATGTAAAAGTTTATTTTTTCAAAACTGTCCAAGAAGTGCTGAGCCAACCTGTTGTGAATCTTTAGTTTGTTGTGCTGCCTTGGATATTATTTTATTGGGAGGAGCAGGGGAAATATATTTTGCATTATCTGTTTAGAGCCAGACTCTATAAAATGACCTGTAATGTCAGCCGATATTACCTTAAGGCAGACATATTGGTATTGGTATATATGTTAGCTCTAAGAGATTGCAGAGCATAAATGCCAAAGTTGTCGACATAGTTTGTCCACTAGTGAGCACTACAACTTTATTTTTCAACCCTAAAATGTCCTGCAAAATGCAAATGGTCCTGCTCAGGGCAGATTTCAGTCACTAGGCCTTAAAAAAATAAAGGAAAAATGAGAGGCCTTAAAAATAGTTGTTTATGTGGAAAGAAAACTATTGTATAAAAAATACTGCAAACTACTATCAGCTGATATCATTATTTGATTTTTAAAACTGTCAAATATGAATATTAGTATTGGCCTCAAAAATGCAGTATCCATCAGGCTCTCCTGTGTGCTGACAAACGGACTGCATGAATTAATAAATAAAAACATGCATAAGTACAGTTACATTCTGGGTCAATGAGGTTCTTGAAACATCACCAATAATGACATAAATGATGGAGAATGCAAGATTAGTCACTTAAACGTTGCTACTGTCACTAATAGGCGCTAGAGATACCAGTTGGTTAAACCTGTTACTAAAATTATTATTTTATGAGATTGCATTCACCCAATGAAAATGCCGTTGTAATAATCAGGCACATTTCCAGAAGAATATTTTGGTGGACAAAGGTCAAGGTCACTGTGACCTCATCTGTTTGATTCTTGTGAACGTGGTATCTCAAAAATACCCTGAGGTAATTTCTTCTAATGTGGCGCAAAGGTTGACTTGACGTGACTCATTGAACTGATTTTGGTGATCAAAGGTCAAGGTCAGTGTGATCTTGCAAATGTCTCATTCTTGTGAACATGAAATTTCAAGAACACCTGAGGGGAATATCTTTAAATTTGACACAAATGTCCACTTGGACTGAAGAATAAACTGTTAAGAATTATGTGGTCAAAGGTCAAGGTCAGTGTGACCTCACACAATGTGTTTTTGGCCATAACTCAAGAATTCATATGCTAATTTTGACAAAACTTAAAACTAAAAGGATAAAATAATGAAGTGATGACATTTTATATTCTGAAGGTCCAAGGTCAGCATCATTGTGACATCATAGTATTTTGCATAAAATACTTTTCTGGCCATTATTCGATGTCATATCTCAGAAGCAGAAGAAGAAAGATTTGGTTGGATACTAAATTGCTGACACTCATCTTAGGTGTCCACCCTGAAACTGATTGTATAGATCTTCTGTGCTGTTTGGGGGGCAATGGGTGTGATGCATCCATGTTCTCACAGACTTGGGTATAAACTGTAATAGAAACTTGACTGGTGTGCGGAGGCGGTAATTCTAGTTTTTAAATAAATGTTATTTGGTAATGCTAATTTAGTGAGTTGTCGTTTTTAATCAGATAATGTTCATAAAGCGCAGTGTAAAGTGCCACAATTTTCAGCAGCATGAAAAATTTGATTCATTTCATATGGCTCTTATACGCACTATTTTTTCAGACAGTGTTTGTGTTCAATTTGAACTGTTTTCTGAGTTTCTTACTTTTAGACCTGTCACTTAGTCAAAAATAACCTTTCCGTTCCTGTTAGGTGGACTGTCCGCGCCCGTGTAACCAATAAGAGTGGCATCCGTACATGGAGCAACTCTCGTGGTGATGGCAAACTCTTCTCCATGGAGCTTGTGGATGAGAGTGTGAGTGTTATTGTGATCTCGGTGTTAATTTTTATGCTATGTAAATAAACAACAAGATATCATGAGTTGAAAATCTTGTGCTGTCCCAGACCCACTTTAATATAATAACCAGACTGTCTGTTTTGTTACAGGGAGAGATACGAGTGACTGGTTTCAATCAAGAGGTGGACAAGTTCTTCAGCCTTATTGATGTTGGCAAGGTGAGACGTTCCTCCAGATAATGATTCAGTATTTGCTAATTATCTGTCAAAACTGTCTTTCACTGTGCCGTTAAAGTCGGATTTGGCCGCAGACTGTGCTATCAACAGCTGCCAGTACTTTGTGAGTTAAAACCACAGAGACTATGAATGAGTCATCTGGCTTCAATGTACCCATACAATAAGCGGCTTATGCTCATCTGCCAGCCTTTGTTGATCCCCCCCGACTGTCTGAAGTCGTATCTTGTTTGCACCATTCAGTCAGGTGAAATGTTCCCCAGATCTCTGATTAACACGTGGTTCATCCATCTGTATGGGCCAGGTCTACTACGTCTCCAAGGGCTCCCTGAAGATCGCCAACAAGCAGTATACATCAGTGAAGAATGACTATGAGATGACTCTCAATGGAGAGTCAAGCATCATCCCCTGTGAAGACAGCTGCGAAGTTCCCATGGTGCAGTGTGATTTTGTGTCTATCGGTGACCTGGAGAACAGAGACAAAGATGCCATCGTTGGTAAGAGACGCCAGTAATGATCCACACAGGCATTTCTGAAGCCTACCTGTGTCATTAAACTTCCAGACAGCTATACCCCATCAGTATTTTTCCAGCCTGTATTTTGAGACGAACACAGTGAGCAGCCTGCAGCCCTAACAATGTATACAAAGATATGACATACTGTTCAGCTCTACCCTGATGTTTTTATCAGAAAATGAGTCTCCCGATAGTTCAAGTTTTTTTTTAAGGGCTGTGGAAAAGTCATTGAATTTGTAAATAGCAATTTCAAGGCCTGGAGAAGTTTTGGAGAAATTAATAAACCCAGAAAGTTTTTTGAAAAGTCAAGGCAATTAGCTTTACAAATGGCTGTACAATAGAGTATATATGCGCTATATATATGTGTGTTTATGTTCTGGCACATCAGTCACGTCATTTAACGTGATGCTTTTCTCTGTTTCGGTCACATTAGACGCCCACCTGAGTGGCAGCTTCTATGTAGTGTAGATGTAAATTCGTGCAGTGCCAGGAAAATGCAGATGTATTAATGTCTAGCTACACTTGACAAGTACAAGACATGAGAAAGACCATGACCCAGGACGTGCACAATGTGAACTATGTAGTCAAACACTTGACATTTCAACCATGTGCTCGGCAGTGCTAGCTAGCCATGTTAAAGGAGCTAACGGCAGTAAATTTTGGCCAATTAGCAAATTCTCACGAACGTTATTCCTACAAATCACATGACGACACCAGCCAGCTTTTCAGGTCATGGTTGCCCCGACAACCAGATAGCTCTGAGATTTGCATGTGGGGAATGCAGGTGCTCATTTACAGTGCATGTGCTGTAGGACTGGGCCTTATTTAAACAATAAAGTCATGGTATGGGCTTTTATTCTTATTTTGCATGTAACATTACACACAGATGTTTCAAATAATGTATGGCCATGAAAATTTGTCTCCCGGGCATGGGAAAGTTACAGAAATTTATCAGTAATAATTGGTATGAACTGGTCGTTTTGTTCAGGTTGCAGACTTCTGGCAATTATTATAGGTGCGTAGAGTGAGACAGTGAATGGAATAAATGAGTGAAACTGTCAGCATTATATCCTCAAAGTACAATGTTGTAACAAAGACAACGGCTGAATAAAACATCGAAAGGCAGACTACCGGTATGTAAGATGTTAAATAAATCTAGCCGACAGTCCTAACAGGTTGAAATATATGGTGGAGGAATATAAACACTGGATCTGTTCATGTCTATTTGTCTTGTAGTCTCTGTAGCCAGCTCAAAGTATTTTGTTTAATGGGCCTTAGATAAGATTTTTCCTTTCAGTCGAAGCTCCGTTTATTCCTCTCAATCGGCCCCACCTCCTAAACAAAGTCTTATCTTACAGGGTAAAATATTGTATACAAGCAGCTAGTTAGACCAAAACAGGATTTGAGACTGATTTAGACTTCTGCTATTTAGAAGCCTGTAGAGCCCCACTACACACAGTCTCAGATCTATTACTCAGAATCAGGCCATGTAAACCCTTTCAAGGCAGAGCTGGGGGCTCTGTTTGTTCCTCTGCTGCATTGTTGTCATGGGATGATCTGTCTAGTATCAGCATTTTTTTCTGATTGAACGCTGGCCACATTTTGCCCATTTTATGAGACATTAGTTTTGATGTTGTCTTATTTATTTAGTGCCCTAAAACTATGTGCAGAGGGCTGAGTTGTGTAATGTGCTGTGCACCAAACTACAGGTGGCTTAAGCTTGTGTCCTCTATGATTCCTGTTGTTTAAGTGTACATTGTTTTCCTTAATGGAGGGCTTGGGCTGTGTGAGGCCTAAACACATCATAATTCTCTTAAGCCCTGTTTATTGCAAAAAGCACAACCAACCAACCAAATCTCAGAGCCTATCTCCTACTGAGGTGTTTCCAAGCACCCAATAATAAGCTATCATAAGAGGAGGAAAGAGTTTGTAGCAGAAAGTAGAGCCGGATATGCTGTGAGGTTATGGTAATTACAGTATACGAGCAGAGAGATAAAAGTGGTATTAATAATACTGATGACAGTAATAGCCTGTAGTGCAGATTGACTTTGGGCCCTATGGCAGAGCCGATGAGAAAATGAGAACCTGCTGTCACAGGTAAAATGAAGTAATAATAAGGAGTCTGCTTGTAATTCTTATAATGAAGACTGCAGCTTGTACTGCTGTTTGAGTAATTTCTCAAAAATCAAATCAAGCGTTACGTTTTGTTCATCACGGTTAATATATTTAAAATCCTTTTACTCAGTGGGGGTTTATAGATGATGTGGAATGCTCGCGATGCCACTCTTGCACCTTTACAAATAAATGGCTCAGCATCTGTCATGCTTGATTGCATTAGTTAACAAAGTATGCTTGATGAAGTGCATAGGAGGAAACAATTAAAGCCTATTTTGGGGATTCTCTCCTACATTATGGATGTAAGTGCCTGGTACACAGGCCAGTGACCTCACGCCTGATTTGAAATGAATGAATCACTTATTTCCCATAAGCCAATTTGTGCCGGAAACCACGGGGCCTTGAGTGACCTGCCAGCGTAAAACACCGCAATCAATATTTATGATATGTATATTTGTAAACAATCGGGAGGATTTGTTGGGAAAACTAAACCTATGTGGTTATCATCTTCTCAATAAGCAGTAAATGATGCAATCTTAACAGACTGGAAACTATATAAGGTCGGGAATAGAAAAACAGCCCCAGTGTCTGCTGGTAATCCACTGATTCATGTCTTCTGTTCCAGATGTGATTGGAGTGTGTAAGAGTGTGGAAGAAGTGACCCGCCTCACTACCAAGTCCAACAAAGAAGTGTCCAAGAGGACCATCAGCCTGATGGACATGTCTGGGAAGATGGTGACTGTGACACTGTGGGGAGAGGAAGTGAGTAAAGACATTAGGTAGAGAGTATCATGTGTAGGAGGGTAGAAGTGTTGTTTCTGGAGCTTTTTAAATTGGTAGTTAAAATCAATACCAAACTTATAAACATAGACATGCTTGTTGTGGTTCAAATTATCATCTGAGAACAACTATTTAAGTGACTTAAGCTTAAAGGAAATGGCCACTTTAGAATGAAAATATGGACAGTACTTACTGACCTTCATGCCGACAAGAAGTCCAGTGTAGTTTTTTAATCCACAAAACGCGTTCGGGGTATCAGAGGATAACAGCTAGCCGGAGTAACAGCTACACTTGCTGTGCATGGAACCCACATTTTGAAAATGTAATAAAACTCCGTAATCCAAGTGCCCTGAAGCCGCGGCATGCAAAACCCGACTTGAAAAGATGTAATTTACTCCACTTTTATAGCATAATTTCTCACCGTGGTCAGTTAGCCTGCCCTGCAGGCATGCTGTGTTTACATGGCAACTCGCGCGAGACTCGAGAACTAGAACCACCACTAACATTCTAAAGTGGCCATTTCCTTTCACTAAAGCTGGATCACGCATTCAGGGGGTGATCACATTGACATGAGCACCTGCACTACAAGAAGCCTGCATTAAATGCTACTTTTGTGAAGCTGGGACTGTTGCAATAACCGAAATATTACAATACTGTGCTATTGAAACTCAAAGGATGACAAGCAACCGCCACCACCGCTATAGTCATGTTTTCAATTATTCAATTTGTTTTAAAACTGTAATTTTTGTCATTTAAAAGTGACACTACAAATAAAATAATGCTTTCTTTGTCCCACAGCTGGAAATTTGATATACCTAATAGCCTAACAATAATGCTTATTTACAAAGCTTTAAAATCAGGATAAATGAGGTAATTTGCTAAAAACAACACAAAGTGGCAGTAGTATGGAGCCCATAATCAGTGCAGGGGAAATTCCTTCACCACTTCTGCATAATATGAAGCTTGTAATGTTCAGTTTTTGGTGAGATTACACCCCCCACTATTATACCAATATAAAGTCCGTTTTTCATGCCTTCTTTGCATTTTTACACAACCAAACAATAGCGGCATCACTCCGCTCAAGTGTGTGATTATATTCTTCATCCTGGGATGCTGTCATTGTAAGAGGCGTGACGGGCGTGACATGCAACACAAAAGTTCTTTGGATTTCTATTTCTTTCTAACAGTTTTGGCCTCTAGTGTGACATATAACATATGCGTTGGCAGCGCTTTCTAAACAGCAACAATGGTGTTACGTGTCTTTCACAAACATTGACCGTCTCTATTATGTGGTGCCTGATGTAGTCCTGCTTTGGGGACTTTCAGTTAGGGTTTACAGCTACTGTTGTTCTTTGAGTTAACTGCTAACTGCTGCTTTTTAAATCTCCCACGGTGGGGCGGCAACATAATATGTAATCAAAACGTCACACCCAATCCACCCATGGTCACATCTTCCTGGCTTTACATTTTACACAGATCTCGTTTTGGGTCTGTTATTACCTCCGTTCCTGACTCAGAGACAACTTTCTCCCGACTGTCCCCGACCGTACCGTATACATGGAATTGTGGGGTGGCATAACAGCGCAATATTCCCGCCTTGAACAGGCAATGTAAAAGTGGCTAAAGTCTTTAGTAAGAAAGGTTGGTTAAAGCATTTGCTCATCACTGTTCAGCAAAGAGACATTTACTTATGTGTTTAACAGAGGCAGATGAGGTTGAAATTGTTGACTGAATTCCCTGTCACAGGGTGATTAAGTAACCCCGCTCCTGTAGTTGATTTTTACCTGTGGCTCAGAGGGACTGTGCTGAGTTTGCCACCATTTCTTTCCTCCTGACAGGAAGCACAGTGTTCCCTGTTTGTTTATTCGACAGATAGCCCTTTTCCACAGGGACCTGCTGAGGTACACAAGATGTATAGTTTATAAAGAACAATGGGAATGCCAAAAAGCAAGTAGTGGAGATATTTTCCCCCCATCTCTGAAGGCTTTACTGTGCCCTCTCCTCTCTGTCATTGTTTTTTCTTAGTTGGTGTCCTCAGGTTATTACAGCAACGAGCACTGAAAACCTACAAATCTGAAAATCCAATAAACATATTTTTATAACAGTCTGACAGGAATTTTGTAACTGAACTACTAAGAAATGTGTTCATAGTTCATAGTGGCGAAGCTCTAGGGATGGAAATGTTGGTCTGTCATTTGCTCGCTCCATCTGTTCACCTCTTTGGTTCAGACTGAAATATGTCAATATCTGTTGGATGGATTAAGATGAATGGTCCCCAAATGATGACTCCTACAGAATTAAGCTTTCCTTTGACTTTGCCTCTAGAGTCAGTGAAATATCTCAACAACTATTGGATGGATTGCCATGACATTTGGCACAGACATTTATGTTCCCCTCTGGATAAAGTGTATTTACCTTGGTGATCCCTTAACTTTTCCTTTTCCCTCGCCATAAGGTCAGAATTTCAGTTTATCAAATTCTTTGGTTTATCACCAAATACTTGCACTACTAAATGACATTTCCATCAGCCTGTAGTGCGCTAATTAGCAAATCCTAACATGCTAAACTGATATAGTGAACATGATAAACGTACCTGCTAATCATCAGTATGTCTGTATGTCATTATGAACCGCTTTACAGTAGAGCATCACAGCATCGCTAGATTCTGTACATTTTAAATCTTGTTGTACAAAGTACATTTACGTGTTGTACTAACACACAACTTGATAAACCAAGAAGCAGATAGGGTTTGCACAAGGTCCTTGAAGTGAAAAAATAATAGCCCCTAGCAAAGTGCTAAAAACTCCTTGAAATTCATATGAACCGCATAACGCTGTCTAATATTTTGACCAAAGTTTTGTTCATCAATTCATGACGATTAATTTGCTCAGCTTTTCTTTTTTTGTTTTAAGTTTAACGCGTCCTCGTCTCACTACACAATCTTGCTCTGTTTTGCTTTGATGATGTTCCACCCGACAGCGTAGTTTTATTTTCACTTTAGGCCCGTTTCCACTGAAGAAGTTCCTGGTACTATTTGGGGGGCAGGAACTACTACAGGAACGTCCTCTCGCATGGCACTCTCAACCGCCGTGTCTCCACTGAGAGAGCGGAGTACGAGGAGGGTTCCTGTATAAGTTACGGGCTCTGGATGTGACGTAATCGTTGTGTGACCATTTTGACCGGGGCGACGTAGGGACGCCGTTAGCTGTTAGCCGATAGCGGTGTCTGTAATAACTCACTAAATGGCCCGTGAAAAAAATATTTTTTCCAGCGGATGTCTTAGTTACACCATGATTGAGCTAACTGGAGTAGTTTCATGTCGTATCTGACAACGGGAGGCTTTTAACAGATGACGTCCTGATGTTAGCTTTGCTGCTGCTGTTAGCTGTCCCTGTCAGCGGCAGCCACTGATACTTTCTAGACATCGTGATTTCCCAAAACTGAATAAATACCACACATATCAACACAAAACTGCTTTGCTAGCTCAATCATGTTGTAACTAAGATATCCGCTGGAAAAAATATTTTTTTCACGGGCCATTTAGTGAGTTTTTTTTAAATGGCAGCAGAAGCTATATGAACGAGCTAACCCTCGTCTGCTGAGTTTTAAAAATGCCGGCTATTTTGTTGCTTTCTGTTGTCGTTACATCCCTCCTTGAGTATATCCAATCAGCACCAAGTAATCCCCAAGCCTCAGCCAGGAGTCTTTCGGGGCCGTTCTGAGTACCTACTCCGAGGCAGGGACTTGTTTAGCCCCTGTAAAAGTTCCGTAACTCTGTCTTTCGAGGGTGGTTCCTGCGGTGGAGACGCGCACCAACGGCCCCGGCCCCGTAAAATTACCCCGAAGTTCCTGCAGTGAAAACGGGCCTTTTACTTCACTCTTAAACCCCCCCACTAAAAACTAAACTAAAAGTGGATTTTAGACAGTTATGCCTAAGAAGAGTGCAATCAGTAACCCTTCACTTAAAAGAGAGACATGGATCACATAATTTATCTGTGTAATAAAAAGTTATATTGGAAAATGAGCCATTTTCTTTGAGTGTAGTCCTTGAAAATAAAAGAATGGTGCTGAAAAAATACTTGGAAGTCATTGAGTTTCATTTAGTATTGTCTGTCTGAACCCTGAACAGAATGAATTAAATCCAGACAGTAAGTAAAAACAAAGTTTTAATGAGTGCCCTTTTCTCCATATCTCTCGTTTATGTAGGCGGAAAAGTTTGAAGGCTCTGGACAACCCATTTTAGCCATTAAAGGGGCGAAGCTTTCAGACTACGGAGGCCGGTCCCTCTCTGCATCTTTCAGCAGCACCCTGATGATCAACCCAGACATCCCTGAGGCATATAAGCTCAGAGGCTGGTAAGTGTGCCTGAGGATCCTTGATAATGCAGTTCAGAAAATTGCTCATGTGTTCTAGCAATTGTATGCTCACGTCAAAATGGGCTCAAAGCAGGTATAAAACATGGTGTACATTTCAGGCCAGGAGGCTTATTCTTATTTATTTCACCCGCAGTGAGATAACTCCTTGCATGCAAGCATTACTGTTGAAATTGAAGAACTCGAAGGATTTAAATGGTTGTGAGAGTGCATGCTCTGATTCTCATTGTCAAGATTAGTTTTCCCCCATTAGCCGCAATGTGGGGGGTGGCTTCAATGAAGCATTACATATAAATGGAAATCATACTTAATCTGTGGAAATGCGTTTTTACTCCTCTAATCGCCTTTCCAGATGAAATGAAATCCAGACTAATTTCTGTGTGATTATGGTGATTGTAGCATTTCTTTTGCCTTGGTGTGTGTTTTGGTGTGGTTGCGTAATGTGTACACTGTTCTGTAGTGTCTGTGTTCACTTGAAAACATAGGATTATGTGGAAATTAGACAAGATATCTTTGTCTTTAAAATCAGAGTTGTTATCTGTGTACATGTAGTTATGTGTATTGCACCATATTTGATTTTATTAGAAGTAATACAGCCAAATGCAGAGTTGTAGGATCATGACATGATAAAGACATGTGACTCTATTCCTTGAAGATTTTCTTTTGGCTTTTCTTGCAAAAGAACAGAAACATTTAAGACTCACACTTTCATCTTTATTTGGCCTCACATGCTACTTCTTTGATTCCTCATTTTCTAAATTATCACCTCTCCTTGGTGTTCAACATGACCAAAAATAATCATGCACTGTGTAAATGCATTTTGCCAGAGGTAAAACGCATTTCTGTTGTTTGTGTAATCATTTTTTGAACAAAGGCATCACCCTGTCAGTGTGTGATGACAAGGTTTATTGGGACAGGTTGGCAGATGATTGACAGATGAGGCAGTGCACTCGTGGACCGCAGCGGGGGTTGATACGTAACCTTGCTCCAGCACTGTGACACAGTGACTGATCTGTTCGTATAGATCCTACTTAAACAGGCGAGACCTGCCCCTCCTCTCTGACATGAAAGCAAATGTCTGTATTTGTGAGTGGAGATCTAATCAATTCCATCCAAAGAGTTTCATTTATTTACCTCCCAATGCCAGCGACCGCTCTGCACTGAGGAATAAAAGACGGTAAACACTTCAAGTTTATTTTGTGACCAGTCCAGTGCAGCCTCTTTTTCTGCTTTGACAAATTTGCCTGCAAGTATTTAAACATGTTCAGGGGAGCTGATCTGCATAATCAGAGCAGTGAAATGTGACTCTGCTTTGCAGGTGAGAAAGAGGCAAATTATAGTATATGCTCAAATGTGCCTCTTTCATCGATGTCTCGGCTCATACAGTAATTTCTTGATTCTTTTAGCACCAGCTTCCAGCATGTCTGAATATATTTTCTTATTTTATTTCTCAGAATGCCAACTACTGTGAACTGCTGCTTTTTATGATGAGTTTTTTATATGTGCGTCGTGATTGAAAGTCTTCTATTATCAGGGCCACTCCTGGGTCTTCTGCTTTCTTGTACCTGAACACCATTAAGTCCTAAATCACATTTCCTCATCCCTGCTGGAGCATAGGCTTTTAATACTTCCTGTGCTCTCTACTGTTTAATGACGGAATGTTGTTCCCCACATTCTCCTGTCACTTCTCACTTGGACAGCCAGAGATAATGATCCTTCCTCTGTTGCTTCATCCACTGCATACGTGGAGTTTGTCCATGTGGGTCCTCTTTGGACAATGGGTTCCTGCAGGTTTGCAGCCATCTACTAATGAACAGTTTAAAAGTCACAGATGGATTGACTTGGATCGAGAGTAATGAGTCAGGTTTGGCTTCCAAGTGAAAGCCATGGCGAAGACGAGATCGTTATGCAGCATGTCTGAGGGCCGTGTCCCAGCCAGCCTCATGCTGTGAAGAGGATGGAGAGAATGGCCGCCTTAGTTATTTATCTTTTTGTTTTAAGGCTGCATCACAGAGATTATATCTAAAGATGATGACAATGGAAATTGTTAGTGTGTGTGTTTACTGGAAGACTGCCAGCTGTTTAATACATAATGTGTGTTTTGTTGTGCTGTTGATAAGTCTGGGTCTCAGGATGGAAGCCGTCAACAAGTGTGTCCCCTAATTGTTCTGTAAACCAAGATGTGAATTATAGAAAACAGAACAAGGGAGCAAATCAATTAAACCCTGAATGAATCTTTTGATGATTATTTTTTAATCTTGCCCAGAAGAACCTAAAGCTCCCTCCGCCAAACAAAGATATGCCTTTACTGTACAGCCAAGGCTGCTGAAACATCATTGTTTTACTCATGCAGAGGCGTCTTAATTTGATTGTGTTTTGGCGCAGGCCTTTGGGACTTCCTCAAATGAATAGTCTATCCTTGGTGGGCTATTGACTCGAACTGATGCAGAGTATTAGTGGTGCCGCTCAGCACTTTCCAGTGTGCTTATAAATAAAAATGCTGCATTAATTATCTTGATCTTGGGTTAATATGGGGTCTTAGTGCGTAGTTAGTGTGCACCTGCTGTGTGCCCTCACCTTCTTTTTGAGATTTATTGACACGGGCAACCAACTTGAAATGAAACCTACACTAACATTCTCCTAGTGAGAATTAGTGTAAAAATCTGACTTCATATTTACCCTTTCATCCATCTAACTGTGAAAATGCAGTTGTCCATTAGGTGGCAACAGCACATTTAGAGATGGTCAGGCTGCCTTCTTCCATCCTGCCACTTTCCTGTTAACTACCTTTTGTCATGTTTATTCCCTGTCAACCGCAGACGTTAACCACAGACTCATTTAGTCATACAAGTCCAAGCTGACATTTTCCGTGTCGTCCTTATCATGACTCCAGTATTTCCACATGTACAGGCCACAGCATATAGTTGTGGCAGTAATTATGTCAGCCCAGGAGCAAACAAGCTCCAACACAGTAGTTTAGTGAACACGATCCCTCAGTATTTAATTGACTTGTTATTTTACCCAAATGTTTTTCTGTGCTGTATTGATTTAAGAAAAAGCGGCAGAATTACTCGCTGAATTACTGGTGTTGAGTTATTAGCTGAATTGAATTAGTAGCTGACTGACTGAATGTTTCAAACCAAATTTGATAGTGTCTCACAAAGCGAAGAATTCCTCTTTCAGTGGTATTGTGGCTTGTTTTTGTCACTATTGTCAAAGTAGCCTTGAACCAGGACACTCAAACTCATAAACTTTACTGGATCTGCTCAGTGGCATACAGAGCTGTTATTTAATAAGCACTAGCTTACAATATATTATGTTGTACTAAGTGTTAACAGAGCAAATGTGCAAAATTATTTGCTGGTTGCAGCTTCTCAGATGTGAGAATTAGTTGATTTCTTTGTCATGTATGATAGTCAACTGAATATTTATAGGTTTCAGAAAATGATTGATAGTTGCAGCCCTGTTTTTAAGTTTTTATTCACACTTTATATTGCTGCATATACCAACCAGGCATAGAGTAGGCATAGTGTTTTTCTTACTCAAAATAATCCAGTGGAAACGACATTTCTGGTTGAAGAACTTAGAAAAGGTTTACAAAGATGTGAACTATCGCCCTGTCTTGGAGAAATTAATAACTTGTCCATTATGATACCCATTGTTCATACAGAAATTAAAACACATCAAAAATAGCAGGTTAGCAGAGTGTTCAGTTTGCCTTGCTGCACATTTAAATTGTGTATTACCAGAAAAAAATACTCCAGCCTAGCAATAAATTTCTGTTCTGTTTTTCCGTGATATACTTACTGTGCAGCTCTGTATAGGACAAACTCATTAAAATTCAACTATTGTGACACAGCGGTGAGAGTCAGTCTACCAATGCATGCATAACTGTCCTGGGGTGCAGGAATGACATGTAAGTTAGATAGCTGTATTCTCGCTCTTTTATTCTGCAGTGTTCTTACACAAATGGTAATGCAGTTGCAGTCTGTGTGATCTGTCCATTACGAGGAGGAGGAGATTTTGCCAAAATAGGAATAAAGCAGAATAAACATTCGTCAACCTTTAAATTAAACTATGTATGTGGTTTCATTTAAAGTAATTCTCCCAACCCCCCAGAGACAATTTGTACATCAATTACTTACCCAGTGTTGCATTGAATTTGTGTAGAAAGTGTTTTTCTGGCATGTCTCGGGTGAACAAAGAATCCAAAAACGTCAAATGTTGATGGATTGAAGTCATTGGGGACCACTTTTAACTACAGGGAAACTATATTACAACATCTGTGTACAATCACTTACACAACTTGTGCATTGAAATCCCAGTTTAATGTATTCACTCGCATGCTCGGTACTTAACAATCAACAACTGCATCACCCATTAGTTTGTAAATGAATATTTTAATGTAGTTTTGCTGTTAAACGTGGTCCCCCTTCTCAGTTTTTGGATTCTTAGGCCAGTAATTTACTTTCTGCAAACAGCGCAAACGCGACCGCATCATGGCTGCCATGTGTGATCTGCATTCGCTTGATGCGTTGGCCGCACATCTCAACACAAGGTACCGTGACGCGTAAGCGAGATGCAATATTGACATGACCGCTAAAGGCACTTGTGCGAATGAACACGGTGACTGTGAGATCAGACCAGACGGAGTCGCTGTCGGAGCAGTGGTGGAAACTTTTGAAGAGAGGCTGACAGACCTGGTGCAGAACTACCCGCAGCTCTATGATGTTTCCATGCTGTTACATAGTGACATAGTTCCTCTTCCTCATCAAGCATATCAAGGGCAGCCAGGTTTGTTTACAACACCCGGCATGCATTACCCGATTTCAGGGTTTTATTTCTGTTGTCTGCCCCAAGTGGAGACCGCCGGTATTGTGCATAGTGCTGCAGCAAGTATATACACAGACACGGCGCATTGTGTACGCGTATGTTCAATCAAGCGGCAAGTCTATTACGGCCCTTTGTTAACTGGAAATGCTAGGAAACGTTTTCTTCATAAGTTAAGTGCAGTAGTAGTAGTAGAGAAGTATTTCTCTATGTTACCGGTAGCTTAATATTTGACTACATGTCACTCACTTCAGATGAAGTGGCTAACACCATGTCACACACAACATATAGTCATTGTGTTTGTGGCATGTTTGCCACTCGCAGCCCAGGCATTAGAGTCTTGGCCTGGAGCAAAGGACTCTTACTGCTTACTGAGACTTTCCCATCATCCCCTCATGCCTCTTCCCTCTGACATGTCTCTGCTCCTGTTATGTCCTTGTTCATTGACACACTGACATTGGACATGTCTATGGCATGCACATGCATGTCAACATGCCAACATCCAGTCATCTATCTCAGTGTTCCTGCAGATAGTTTGTCTCACTGAAGCCTCGCTGCTCTAAACTGGGATCTTCCTGTTTCGAGTTGACTGTTGCACATTTTCTGCCAGGTCTAAATTGTCCTCTTTTTCTCTCCTTCATCATGATCACTGTCTACCGTGCCATTTTTGTTTCCTGTGCTCCTCGCCGCCTCTATGATAAAAACAGCAGCAGCTTTAAAACTGGATGCTGTCACGGTGGTATCTTGTGGAGTGTTTTACACTCCTTTTTGGTACCTGTCAAACTACATGTCCACAGCAGCCATGTAACGGTGAAGACTTACTAGTCTGCAGTCTTACCTTTTTAAAGTGTAATGGATTTTTAATCACCTTGGCTATGTTGTCACCACATTTGTCTCTTCTGTATATCATCTGTCTTTGGAGAGATGTTGAGCAATGACAGTAAATGTTATCTCCATTTTGTCCAGTTTGATTTGTCGCCATATCTTTTACAAGTTTCTAACTGGGTGCAGGCACAATTAAAGCAAAGCAGTGCAGGTACACTCGTGAGAAATGTGGTGCCACCGTAAAGAATTGCTCACATTTGTCAATAGGTGTGGGAAATTGGCAGCCTCTGCGTTGCTCTGGCCACAGTCTGAAGCGTTAATGGGGATATTTTCAATTAGTCATGCCTCCAGGAGCAAGGCATGCTCTTGCCATATTTACAACCCGACCTCCCCATTGTGCGCCACTCTTCCTTGTGGCCAACAGATTAGTAAGCTGTATTGATCTCTGTGACCATTTAAACTGTTATTCCCCCCCCCCCCCCAACTGCATGTTACCTCCACCCATCTTTCTTCTACTCCTACCCTGCCTTCCCTCTTCTTCTTCCTGTTGTCTTCTCTGAATTACCGGGAACATTGGACGAAAATGGGTTTCTGATATCACCGTAACAGCCCTGACCCTGGCTAGCTCATCTGTCCCTCTGCTGTTGAATCATTTCACAAACCTCTCAGCCTGCCCTGCGCTCAGCTGAGCCATCCTTGCTTTGACAAACACAAATGGATGCTCTGCCTAGAACAAGATTTTTTTTTTTTAAGCTAACTGTTAAATGGACAGCCTGCAATCTGTTGACAGCAATGTGAACAGCAGAGTATTGTGTCTCCTGCTTTGGTTTGGATGTATTAAAATGGATAAAGCTGCAATCCAAAAGCAGGCCTCAGCATACCAACATTACGGATCTCTCAAGTGGAAGTACAGCTTTCCAAAACTTTTGTAATATATATAAATTTGGTGATAAAACAGATGCATAGCAGGATTTTAATGAAAAACAACAAAGACTCACGCCGGAGTAATCCCTCTCAATCATCACTTATGACCATCTGGAAGTATGTAGCGGTATATGTTTCTGCAGAGACTCTGCCTTCTGCCTGTATTTTCTCCTCTTTTTTTTTTTTTAATGGGTTTCTGTGTTCAGGTCAGGACATTTATGGGCGTGTTCCCCCAAAGCACTCAGATGAAGTCGGGGCTATATAAAAAGGTAGCAACCAGGTGCCAGACCGTAAGCAGCAGGCACCCAAGAGACACATGATGAAAAAATGCAAATATAATGAGGTGAAATGCCAGGCGAGAGTCAACCTGGGGTTGGCTTTTACCTTCACTTTCACTTGCGAGTGTGTTTACAAACAGTTACTGACAATCTTGCATAGTATACCTTTAAACTAAAATCTTGGTCAGTCAGATAAAACAAAAGGAACTGGAAAAATTATGGTGCACATTTTTCTTTTCCTTTTTTTCCTTCCATTTTCTACTATTTTCCAATATTTTATGGACTAAATAATTAATCAAGGAAATAGCTGACATATTAATATATATAGAATATAATCGTCGATTGCAGTCCTACAAATATTCATGGTTCACTGTGACTTAACACAAATCAGCATTGACTGGTATTTGTTCTCTTTCACATAGGTATGACAAGGAGGGCCACGCCATGGATGGACAGTCCCTGACAGAGGTGAAAGGCAGCGGGGGAGGACTCATCAACTGGAAGACTCTGTCTGACGTTAAGACGGAGCACCTGGGACACGGAGACAAGGTACACACGTGCTCGGCGTTGCCTTGATGCACTCAAACATTCCAGATATGGTAACCCCAGACACATTGTTATTCAAGGATGAGTCTTTGAAGATATTCAAGGACAAACTGAAAGGCCGGCGTTGAATCCCAAACAACAAATATGAAAGTGCTCACAGTCAAGCTGCATTTGTTATTTAAAACCCGCGGTACACATTGCATGTCTGTATAGTGTCGCTACAGTGTAACCTTGTCACTCGTAGCTCTGCTTTTGCAGAGGTGCTTTTAGCTGAGAGTCAGCGTGATGAATCTTCATAATCACTGACTCATAAAATCACTGCACCACCAGGTATGTGTGCTTAAAATCGGATCCTGATCTTCTGCTCATTAATCCCACTGTATCATGGGTGTCCTCTCACAGTCTTGGTGTATGTTCAGGGTGAAAGCCACATTTATCTCCGGTATTGATTACTAAGATTACATAAGCTCTTTTCCTTGCCCTCTGTAATGAAATTACTGCCCTGAGATAAGTAAAGTAATATGTGTTCTTTAATTTCCCCCCTTTTTTCATTTTTACTGTTGAGGGAAATTGTGCTCAGAGAAGTGTATAAATTGTGCAGAGCGGATAATGTGACCTGTGCAGAGATCTTAACTTTTGTAATTTAACATTGTTTAACATGCTCTGCACATTAGTAATCATCACAGTATGATGATAATATCCCATTAAGCCTATAGGACAATTAATAGATGCAAGCGATTATGATAGGGCACCAAGAGACTCAAGAAGAACAGTTTTGCTCTATTGTCTGCTTGGAGGCTCAAAGTATTAATTCCTTAGAAAACACAGAGAAATGCAAAAATACATGGATTAAGCCAAAGCAGCAGTTAGTTGTTAATCTCAATTAAGTGAGAAATATGTTTTAGTGAATGATTTGTATGCGGTGGTGAAACTGCACGTGTTTGTGTGCTGCCGGAGGCTGTGAGTGAACCTGTCCTACTTGTGGTGCCCTCATAATTCTCTCTTCTACGGCTACAAGTGCAGGATTCCCAGTCACAGATAGTAAATGGCTTATTGCTCCTCCTTATGCCTCTTTCAGTAAAGCCACTTCAGCTATTCTATCATCTAGAGGCCTACAATGCAGCTTAAGCAGCCCCATCTATTTTTTTTTTTTCTAACCCCAAATCCTGACTGTAACCATTAGCCCCCTGTCAGGTGGAGGGCTTCTCCTGGCATTAGCTCCCCGCTGTTCAGGAGGATAGGTTTGACCCTGGGCTATAGAGGCTCTTGCTCCGCCTCAGCATGGCGTGTGATGAGGCCCAGTACTGACAAAGGAGCTGAGCCAAGGCCGTCCTCAACCCCTCTGAGACATCCCATACGCAGGGGCATGGGGGTCAGACCTCTCAAGACACCCCCCCCCCCCAAGCCAAAGTCTGTTGCAATTAATTGTGCCTGTCACAAAGTCTTTGTGTCATAATCTCAAGTTTCCACATTGCTCCTGTGCCCTTTCTGACAGTAAGTGGTCACCCTCCTCTTGACACCGCATTTGTAAAGGCCTATGACAGTGGCGAGAAACAAGGTCTTCTGTCATCTTCCCACTGTGGCAGCCCCGGTCAGTCACACACTAATTGAAGAGGTATTTACTTGATTAATTGCACCTCCTTTGGAAAAGCAACAGAGGTTGATGTCTGGGTTGTTTTTTGTAAATCAAAACAGTAATTAAAAAAGCATAGCCAGCGACTCCTGGTGTTGGAACAGGATGATTTTCTCTTATTTTGTTGCTGTCACTTACCACCCTCTTAAAGGCCTTTTGTTTATCCAAAATGACATGGAATATCAATTGTCCTGTTTTGGAAGTTAATGGGGGTTGAATGTCTTTGGCATACTAATGCAGTGGTCAGTGTTTGGAGAAGAGAAGGGGAAAGAATTCAATTTCATTGCACTTTCAGGAGATGTTCTATTTTGAGTACATGTTTTTTTTTTGTTTATTTGTTTAGCAAATGTTAGAAACATAAGTAGAAGGTTCTATAGAGCTCAGTGAGTGCACCACTCAGCAAAGAAATCTTTTGCAGGATGTCCAGGTCATGGAAATGTTTTAATGATGTCTTATAATTTTTCAAAATATACCAGTTTGCTTTTTTCAATCCTTGGAGGAACTAATTACAGATGACTGTGGCCTAAAGCATCTCTTCACAGTAAACATAATTGCATTTACATAGTGGCATTAATGATTATTTAATGTATTTAGATATTATGGCACCAAGCTGGCAGGCCTGTTGCCCTGCTCCTTGACCCTGAACAGGCACCTTTAGCCTTTTATCAAAGCAGCAGAGGCCTCGTCTCCTCTCTGTTGTCACAGCCAATGCTGAGGTTAGTGGGAGGGGGAGACACTGTCCAAAACAATTAGCTGTTAGGGTGCAACAGCTATGTGTCGTGTGCAGAAGGGCTGGGCTGCATTAGGAAAACTTTTCCAGAGGGAGAGGGGTAATGTGACTTATCTGCTAACATGCTGAAACTTCCCCCCCCCCGTCATTACAGCACATCCAAAGCTGCTTCAGTATGCATCTACCAATCCAATATGAAATTCGTGTCTTTCAGTTGGTTGTTTTCTGTGCCGACTAGGAATGTTTTCTGAAGGCTGTTTATGTGTAGCAGGTTTAAAAGTTTGCCTCCTCGCCACAAACACTATCTCAATGGTTTGCATTTGTGTCAGAGCCATTAGGATTCTGGTTGAGAGTGTAACTTGAGCTACTGCTACACAAATGTTGCTTCCTGACTGTTCACATTCACCTCTATATGCTCCTTAAAATGTCATCTTAATGTTAGTTTCATGCTGTTTTATTCCTGGTTTTCAACCGTCATATTTAACATACAAAACACAAAGGTCGTGAGAGAGGGGGAAGATATCGAGTAAGAAGCACATTCCAGTAACATTATGCAGCACTGAACTTTTGTTTACATGAATATTTGTTTGTTTATATTCCCTTTTTAGGCAGACTACTACACCTGCACAGCTACCATAGTGTACCTGCGCAAGGAAAACTGCCTTTACCAGGCCTGTCCCAGCCAAGACTGCAACAAAAAAGTGGTCGACCAACAGAATGGCATGTTCCGCTGCGAAAAGTGTGACAAAGAGTTCCCCAACTTCAAGTACCGCCTCATTCTTTCTGTAAGTGACTCAGCGCCGGCTGCCCAAAAACTTCTGATTCTTTTCAGCTGTGGCACACATGCACTCACACACAAGCATATATGCTAATGCACATATCTGAAACGCCTGTTCTTCCTGCTAAGTCTTGAGCAGATGCTTCTGCTGAGGCTATGCGCATTATCCTCCTAGTCCTTCACATAGCCCCATCTTTCTTTTCCCCCAACTTACTGTCCTTATTCTGTCTCCCGGGCTCAAGCCCCTCTCTCCCCTTATGGCCTGTCCCCTTTGGTTCAGCATTTCCCCGATCTGCTCTTTGCAGTTAAATTTAGAGACATTTCAAGCCAACTCGACTGTTTCTGTGACACATGGTAATGAGGGCTAATTTTAGATTTTACTAGGGATGCACGATAACTTTTCTTTTAAACCGATACCGATAACCGATAATTTTCAGCTCCTAAAGGCCGAGACCAATAACTGATAACCGATAACTTTCAGCTTCTAAAGGCCGATACCGATAACTGATAACCGATAACACACACACACATACATTATATATATGTGTGTATATATATGTATATATATATATACCTAAGATCATGACATCAATACTATGAACAAAACCAAAACAGTTTTGACTCTTTAAATGAAGAGATATATATATTTTTTCCAATGAAAAACTATTGGCAAGCATCTCAAACATTTTCGAAAAGATATCAAACAAAAAAACTATTTGATATCTCAAATGAACATCAATTTAAATAAGGTGCATTACTTACTGATATAAAAATAAAGGCCCCTTGAACTGATGCAAATACATGCATTGGGATTACAAACTGAAAAAGTTCATTCCAGAAGGTCAAAAAAATAAATATATATAGAAAATGATTGCACTGAACAAGTTAGACTTGTCTATGTAAACAAACTGAAAAAGTGCATTCCATAGTAACAAAAAAATAAGTTTAAAGAATTTTGGCTTGTGGTTCCATTGAAATGAATACCTTTTCACTAAGGTAAATGGGGTTCAGTTGTTCTTTTATCTCATATTAGGAGAGAGAGAGACAGAGAGAGACAGAGACACAGAGTCTATGTGTTTGAGATAGTGTTGTCACGGTACCAAAATTGGGACCCATGGTACGATACCAGTGACAGTATGAGGATACCACAGCAAAAATGAGGCAGATGTGCCTTTTGTCATTTATAAAAAGATAAATCACTTTTCTATAATACATCAATGATATTTCAAAGGAATAAATTACTTATTGACTTATTCATACTTCAAAAACAGCATCAATAAGTGATTAACATAGGGGGGGTCAAAATAAAATAAATAAATGAAATAAAAATCAACCAGCCACCCTCCTCCCCTGACAAGTCCCTTCATAAGTAATGAACAGTCCCTAAAGTTTCTCCTCTGATATGCCACATACTGTGTGCCGCCATGGCTCAGCTGTTCAGGTACTTTTGGGCAGTCATGACAAAAAGTTATTCACCTGGAGCCGGACTTCTTCGCTGGTAAGCCGTTATAATGCGCCGCCGTATTTGACAGGAATACATATTCCTGTCCGTGTCTGTGACCCCCATTCAACCCACAACTGGCGGGATTCGCCGTTACTGTTTATCGCCACACTGCCGACATTTTACTCTGTCGGTCACCGCACGCTGTTTGATTGCGTTATCAAAACACGCCGCTATTATTCGGCCTTGCTTTTCACTTATTCCACCGAATACCGAATGTGTGTTTTTTATATTCGGCCGAATATATTCAGTGCATCCCTACATAGGAGCCTTCCCCCACTCCCCACTCCCCTCACCGCTGCTCTCCTCACTATACTGGCTGCTGCGCTGTGCAAGTGCACAGATGTCTCAGAGTGGTGGTGCATTTGCAAAAAATGTTTTGAAGGAGCAGCAGCGGCGGCAATAATAAATGAATGTAGCGGAAACACTGATTTGTACTGTGGAGTTTTAGTGCCGCAGTCTACCATTGGTACCAGTATACCGTGCAAAGTGTGAGAGAGAGAGAAAGAGAGAGAGTGTGCGCGTCTGTGTGAAATTATGACCGAGTTAACGAGTTGTTTTCCAACATGAGGGGGTATTCTTGAATTTTCCCAGTCAGAAAGAGTTTTTCTGATTATGCCGACGTCACTATCGGCCCGATAGTTATCGTGCACCCCTAGATTTTACACTTGTCTTTAAATCAGAGCTATGTTGGGATAATTGCTGCAGCTTTCCATATTGTGCTTTAAGTCATTTTAGAGAAAGTTCAGGGAGGAACGCAAATATGTGCCCTTTTTTTTTTGTCAGCTTGTTTGCAACACAAACATTATTTGGAAAGAACAAATAACATTAAACACAAAAGCTCACTTAGTAAGCAACAGAGCAATTGCAGCCAGGCATCTGAAATAGGCATTTTTTGTTTTGTACCACTCACCAGTTGACATATTGTTATTCTTCACAAGCTGTAGTATAAGCTGTGAATTTGCCTTCCCTGTATGTATCACGAGAACACAGTGACTCTGCTTGCATTGCCAGGCTTCCCAGCAGGATATAGGCTAATTAGAGGAAGTAATGATTTCTTAAGAGTAGGGAGATGTGTTAGGTTAACATACCACATTAAGCATCTAGCAAATACAACATTTAAACACGAGTACATTGATCTATACTTGTGTATATACATCTAACTGTTCTACCCATTTATTTCCCCTTTGTTTTCGTTATAATTCTACAGGCCAACATTGCAGATTACGCAGACAACCAGTGGGTGACTTGCTTCCAGGAGAGTGCAGAGGCCATCCTGGGCCAGAACGCAGCTTACCTGGGGCAGCTCAAGGACTCGGTGAGACTTCCCTTCCTGAATATAATACTGGCCTGAGGAAATGGCGAGGGCACAAGCTAAACCTCAGGCTTTGTTACTGCCAAGAATGCATACACACTCACACACACACACACACACACACACACACACACACACACACCCCTGCATAGACAAACCTGTGATAAAGAAACCTACTGAGCTTTCTTTCTTACAGGCACAATTAGAAAATCACAGGAGTTGTTTTTCACTGTTCACTTATCAGACACTCACTTTATTTTGCACTTGAAACTGTGATGAAACCAACTTTTGATTAAACCAATATGCGTACTTATTGAAATTGAGCCAATCAAATGTTTCTCATTTTCAGAACGAAGCCGCCTTCGACGAGGTCTTCCAACAAGCCAACTTCAACACTTTTGTCTTTCACAGCAGAGTGAAGCTAGAAACATATAACGTAAGTGAAACAGGAACGGTAATTAGTCTGATAAAATGTCTAGCGGTTTGGTGCCATCATAGCATTCTTTGTAGACAAACGTATTGCTGTAACAAAATAGAAAATGTGCCCATTACTGAGACTGGGAGGGAAAAAAACAAAACCGCCTCAATCCCGTGAACCACCATCGTTCCTTTGTAAGCTGAAAATGCATAGCACAGAAACAGGTCCTTCATCTTTAAGCTGTTTGTGTTTTTCTTCCTTGATAGTTTTCCTATTCATTAACACAGCTACCCTGCTTTCATTTTGACTGGCAGAGCCATCTCTAAAAACACTCTTAAGTGTTTGTCCGAGAATGCTGCTCATTTTCAGTGGCTTTGTGAAGGGTGCACGCACAGATTAGTCGCGGTCACTATTTCCTGTAGGCCACACAGATAGAGGTTTGTTTTGAGGGAAGCACATAAAAGAATTGATTGGGCTGGGACTCTGAGCAGGAAGTCTGGAGCCGTGCCAGAGGCTGCATCCGCCTTCAGCCCACAGAAGAGGCTACTGTGTCTGTCACATTCAGCGCAGCCTCCTAACTGCCAATGGCACTGCTACAAGCATGTATTGGCTGCTGCCTCCAGACCCCATATTCTTTCAACAGAGACACCTGCAACCCCTCTTTCAGTTTATTTTCTCCTTCTCAGTGCTACAAGCCAGCCATTGTGCTGTGCTCTCACATGTTGTCATGGGCACAATGTTGTGTGTGCTTGATGTTGGACAAAGCAAGTTAATGACACCCCATCCACTCTGTTGAATCATAGTGAGACTTACGTTTCGACTGAAACTCTGTAACAAGGTCTGTCAGAACATTTGAAGGTCTCCCTGGCTCATTTTGGGAAGGTGGACATCAGATTTTTAGACTTGTGCATACATATCCAGCTGAAACAAGGTTAGTTGCTCAAAAGAATATTTTGATAATCAATTGTTTGTCATCTTTTAAGCAATTTAACACATATTTGCCTTGTTCAAGCTGTAAAGTGTGACGTTTAGCTGCTGTTGTTTCCCGTTTTGTCTCACTGAACATGTCTGGGTTTTGGACTGTCAGTCAGACGAAGCAAGCATTTTGAGGACATCAAAAAGTGAAGGGCATTTTCACAATTATATGACATTTTAATGACTAAATTATTAATTGTAAATAGATCAGTCAATAGTAAAAATAATCGTCAGTTGCAGCCCTATACAATATATTACCTACAGCTAAGTGTAGATGCAATCACTCTGATGTCATGCTAACAAGAGTCACTTCCAGGCAGACAATTGGCAACTGATTGCAGTCTCAGAGATATGTGAATTAAAACGTTTTAAGATACATAGTTCAACATGATGGTCCGACCTATGTCATGTTTCTGCTGTGCTTATTTTATGTACTGTGTTGCTTTGCTAGCATTTTTGATATACCAAATCTACTGGCATGGAAGCCAAGCCATGCACTGCTATGGATGGTGGCTGTAGCAAAACAAGTTATCATAACCTAAAAAGACCCTCCGAAAAAAATTAAGTGTGCACTTTACTTGGAACATTTTCACTGCTAACCTTACGCATGACTGTTTTTGTTAAAAGAGTTAATTCAATTGAGATAGCTGCTTCAGTTTCCTGGTGGCAAGGGCTGTTCAACAGCAAGGTAGAGAGGTGAAAATGTTGCTGTAGCTAACAACTTGTTAACGACTCTGCAGTTGTTATAATGACTGATCAAGATATAGTGGATCTTAGTATAAAAGTCAAATTAAAGTATTAGTATACTCTATCAGTTGTTGCTCGACATCACACTGAACAAAAACTCAGATGAGATTGACTTCCTTAATAAGGAAAACCAAGTCACTGTTGAAGGAGCCTAGCATCCCATTAAGGATCAAAACTACATTCAAGTCCAATTAATGTCATTCTCACATCAGATTTCTCAAATACATGAGCATAAAGCCTTTTAAGGATAAATGTGGGATGCCACTGAGAACCAAAAGCTTTGCCACTTGATATAGTTTTCTTGCTATTAAACTAAAACCCTCTCTGATTAATCACAGTGTATCCATCAAAACAAGCCTGATGCATCATGTAATTATTTTCACACAAATCAATATCAAATTAGTACTCTGGGGTTCAAAATATTTATCACTTTGATATTCTGTTTAGATGATTGTGTTATAACTTAAAATGTCAGATGAATGATTTTATAATATACATGTGTTGCCACTGTCAGAAAGCAATCTTTTAAATATTACCATTCAGTACTCGACTCCTTGACAGTCTTAAATCTTTAACTTGCTTGACAGCACGAATGTGCGCTTGCGGCTATGATATCCAAACTGCTGTGCTGTTATTAAGTTCTTATTGTCCCTGTAGGCTGTGTCTAGACATTGTAACTGATTTAAGTGTCTCAAAAGGATGACACTGATGAAAAAGCCGATATTGAACATTTAAGGCTTTTCATTGCAGCACTGGCCCAGTCTTGACCACTGCAGGCCCTCAAATCAGAGTCAGCTGATATTTTCTCATTTCACCCTTATAAATCCTGTCTCACCAATCACATGATGAAGTCTGGTACATTATTCTGGGGCGTCAGTGCAGTCATACACTCCTACTGGTTTTCTTTTCCACCAAATATCAACTGCACTTGACCAGTTGTCTGGGGCTGGGTAAAAAACGCTGGTTGAGGCATTTTCGGGTGCTGGTGTGTGAGTGCCTGTGCCAGTTTTCAGTCAGCTCTTCATCCCTGTTGCACTTGTTTATCGGCAGTATAGGGAATAAAATGTTTTGTTTTTAAAGTATGAAATGGTTACTTTCCTTGGCTGTTGTTTGCCTTAAGTGTCCCTGGCAAGTTTAAAGCTGTTAGAAAAAGGTCACCGTGGAGCAAATTTATGTGTGTTGCTCCTCTTGTGCTCATGTGTGCACACACTCGCAGCGGTGGCTGTAGGAAGGCCAGCACAGGTTGTCCAAGTGTGGATCAACACCCAACTTGGCTGTGTGATGCTGGCTGCTAACATATTCACACACACCTCATCTTATTCACCCACTCATCAACTGCACCCATAGTTCTAACATTGCTGTCAGTGTGCATGGTGGATGTAGGATATCACCAAAACACTGTTAAAATGTCTTGTTCAGAATTCAGCTTTTTCTTTAAGCTAAGCACGAGGTCATTGTCAGTCAGTGGAGGAAGAAAAACCTGCTGTTATTGCATTATTGTTTATCAAATTACTTTACAAAAACCTACTCTGGAAATAATATAAACAATTTAAATGTGCCATTGCAGTGACATTCATAGTATTAAATGTCATTTGGTTTGGGATTTGAAAATTCCAGGAGATGTTTTATTTCCATAGAGCTGGTATTAAATTTCAAGGCTGCAACACTGGTCAGAAGGGAGAATAAATGTGTGTTTTTAAGCAGAGAGAGCTGTGCACATCTGTTGGACTCATTAATTAAACTTGTTTAAACAAAATCAAGGGACAGATATGCTTTGATTAACATCATGTTTCAATCACAAATCTGACGGATGTAGAAAAGTGGCTGGCAGGACATTGATGTGCAGGTATTCACTAGGGCTTCACCTTTAAAGGTCTAGTGTGTAGGATTTAGTGGAATCTGATGATGAGGTTGCAAAACTTGGAATATCTTGTGTGTGTCGAGCATGTAGAACTACATATGTGTAGATACAAAGATATAAACGGGTCAATCTAAGGTAACGTAAACACAAGGATGTTTAGTTTCAGGTGATTATACACAAATGAAAACTAATGAATATTATATACCATTTCCGCCAAGATAGGCCCCTAAATCCTACGCACTGAACCTTTTAAAGATGCACAGAACTAAGTCACACTCCCTGTGTGTGTTGTAATCCTGAGCTTCTCCCTTTTTTGTTTTGGTAGCTGGCAATCCCGGCCCTAAATGTCTTGCCTGTATACAGTTCTCACCTCTGTCATAAGCAAACATGGAGGTGGCTGGGCCTAAATAATGGTAGCTAGCAGGCAAACAGTGCTAACAGCGCTCATAGTTCTAACAATGGCAACAAAACTGACAGAGATAACAGTGTTAATGTCTGGGTGAAACTGGAGGGTGGGCATTACGCTTATCGGTGGTAACCGCTGTGTGAGTGCAATGCAGAGTGGTGGCAATTAGCTTGTGAGTGGGTTACACAGACAGTGACTCACATGCACTAAAATGCACATGTAGCAGGCCAGCTACCTAAACAAAGAACAGAGAAGCTCAGTATTACAACACACACACACACACACACACACAGGGAGTGTGACTTAATTGTCTGCTCAGGACGCCATAACTTCACTATATCTTTACATAACAAAGAGTTGTTTGCTGCTGTATTAATAATAAAAGTCTCATATAACCTTTAAAGATATTACATTTTAGTCTTCAGCATTGATGATTGCATTCAAGGCACAGAGTATCCCTTTTCTTGAAAGTTAAATCCCTGGTGACCTTTAAGAAACCCAGACGGTCGTTTAACAACACTTAAGGGTGCCCATGGAGTTTTCCTTGTAAACAAAGTTTCTGTTTATATTCAGTGTTATAGGGTACCTTTAACCAATGCTGTGAAGATATTTCCATAATTCTCAAAGATATTTCTGTCCATCTGGATCGACACGTATTCCTTCTACTGCACAACAAAGAGGCTTTCTAACCTGTTTCTCATGTTGCACCCGTTTCCCAACACATGCCAAGATAGAAGCCAAAAGTGACATTCATTTTGCACAATGCATTTCCAAAGTTTTATTATCACATTCATTCATCTCTATTGATGTGTAGCATGACAGTTCATTCTACTAAATGTCAAACTATAATGATGAAGTTTTCCATTATTTTATATTTTTGTATGTAATGTGCCCATATTTCTCTTGCATCACACAAAACAAGCAGCAAGATTTATAATGGTCTCTTCTGAGAAACTGTGGGCTCTAGTCCAAAGGAAGATGATTTACATTTCACCCACTTCAAGCTGCAGAGGATTAATGGTGACGAAATGAGTGTAACCTCTGTTTAAATGCAGAGAATAATGGGCCTGGTAGAAATGACCTTCCCATGTCTAGACAGCTGTGGAGGTGGTTATGGCTTTAAAAGCTGCCTCTTTTTTTTTTGTGAAACATTCATCTGAATGCCAACACAATTCAGACGCCCAGACCAAACGTGTCACATTAACCCAGTTTGTCATGAGGGAAGGAAAGATGCCTATATATAGCATGTTTGCAATAGATGTGCGGATGGATGGTGTCTCAATATATGTAATAGACCTTGGAGTCTAGTGTACGATTCAAAATCTAAATGAATAAGTTATTTTACACACATCATAAATGTTGGAAAAATCACCTGTATTAACATGATATGCAAACATGATTTCACTGCAAGTTATTGTGTGCACTGGGGATGTCAGCGGTTAACCACAGAGAATATTTTTGACACGTCTGTATTGGTTAATTTCTTTACTCTTTAGTTTACTGCATTGTAGAGATAGGCAGCACAAGCAAAAACACTATTCAAAAATCATGGCAACTATTCGACAATTTTTCAAATAACCGTCGTGCGGTTAGGAGCTGAATTGCATGTCAAATTGGGGGGGGGGGGGATAAGACTAGTGGCTCTACTCTTTTGTCACATACCGTTAGTACTACCATCCCAACCTAACAGTGTTGCCATGGAAACATTGTGCCCACAATCTAGTCTCCTCCTAGGTCGCCCCAGTGAGTAAGCAGCTCAGTTTTAAGACACAAACCCCCCTTTAGTTTCGAACTAGTTAGTTTAGAACTGTTACCTCTGTTAGCACCGTTCTCAGTGGTGCTAACATACGGTAGATGACAATGTAAAAGGGGTTTTGCAGCTAAAAACGAAGCTGCTTACTTACCGGGGTGATCTGGGGAAGACCCATAGGTCACCATGTTTCTGCAGCAACACTGTCCTGGTTAGGAGCGGTATTTGTCTATAAGTGGTGGTGCTAGTTTGGTCTCACCCAACCTTGGTGGATTGTGGTGCCGAATGGCAAATGCTAACCAATGGAGACCAGGGGGTTGGGCGATGAGCACTATGTTTCCACATGTTAGCATGGCTAGCTGTCTGTCAGTCAGCAAAGCCAACCGAAAATGAAGTAGAAGATATTTACATCACAAAACAGTGAAATGTCACCCCCTCTAAATTGATAGAGCTTTGAAATGCAACGCTAAAGATCACACTGAGTCAGTTAGTGCTGGCCTCATGTATTTCACTTCAGAAATAGTAGTCATGCTGTTTAAAGCAAGATTAACCAAACGTGTACAGTGGGAGTGGGAATAATGTTGGGTTCCTCCTAAACTACTTTAGCTTTGTTTGGTCCAGGGATGACACACTGAAATTGGTACACTGTAATTTTTAAGCAAGTATTATAAGTCATAAATGTGTTTTTTTTTGTTGTTGTTGTGTGTGTGACAGGATGAATCCAGGATCAAGGCCACAGTGATGGCAGTGAAGCCTGTTGACCATAAGGACTACAGCAAGAGGTTGATCATGAACATAAGAAAACTGGCTGCTGTGTAGGAACTTAACATCTATGCCAAGTATCTGGATTTTGCTTTCTTCAGCGAGTTTTCCTTTGTTTCTGTACAGTCAACAAACAGCTCTAAATGTATGACAAAGTTTAGCTTACAAAGCTTTTGTGTTTGTGTTTGTTTTTTACTTTCCTGTGAATAATAATATCCCTGTAAATGAGTTACCCTCGGACTCTTGTACTTGTAACTGTTCACCTTTCCTTGTGAAATTATGTTGGAGGTCTGAGTCTTTTTTGTTGGTGAACATAGCGGACACAGATTTTTTTTCTTCTCTTTTGATGTTATTTGGGGGAAGCAGAGCAGAGAGTGGGTCAGTAAGCCACTAAAGAAATCATCACTGTTTCTGTCTTAAGTCAGCCAGTTGTTCCTGTACTGCGGTCATATGGGGGTGGTGGCTGCTTTAAGCAGAAGCCCAGTACAGTAGCTAGCACTCTTTTCACTTTCTGACATGCACTCAAAACGGCTGGGCTGGACCTGCACATCCCTGATAAGACCGTTTACTCTCCCACTCTCTTTTTTTGCTTCGTTCCTCACATACCTGCAAACATAAGCACATATACACATGCACAGTGCAGACCTAATGGGAAATGTACTGCAGTCTGTTTAAGTAGATAAAAGGTGTTTTCATTGCCTGGAACTGTTTCATGCGTTCTGTAATTCAGTTTTTCTGTGATAATTGTAAGAATAAAGATGTTTGTGATCACACTGTTGTCTGTTTTACAATGGATACTTTGTTCTTCTTATTAATTGAAATTAAAAAAAAAACAAACTGATGTGTTAATATGTTGAGCTAACACAGCTATCCCTTTTTTTTATGAGTTGCACTATATGTAGGGGATTTATTCAAGGGCTGCCACACAATGCCCTCTATCTCCTCAGGTTTTGCTCAGATGTGCAACAGATTCCCCCGCAAACCTGACTTTCATGTTGTATTAAAGCAGAACATCAGTGAGGCTGCACCTCCCCATTTCTCTTAAGATAACATCTCGTTTCTGCTGAGCGCTGCATCTGTTGCCTGTAGTGTGCTAAGATGGATTAAACCTGTCTTTAAATGGTAAGGAAAGGTAAGTTTGACTTATTTATTTTATTTTGCCAGCTACGCTTGGAGATATTGATGCGAGTTTGCCTGTGATTGCCTCCCTATATCTCACAGCAGGAGCTATTTGGTTATTTTAACTATTAATGTGCTTCCTCTACGTCATCCTAGATGTTGCAATACATCTTAGATCTTTTATAACTCCACAATACAGTTAATGTCGTGGGTGGTGTCAAAGGATGCCAGTGATACCTCACCATATTCCTGTCTGAAAACACCCAGTTTATCACACAGCACTGGCAGAAAGGGCCTGATAGGACTTGGTGGCTCTTTAACCATCTGAACTGAAACATTTTATTCCATGACACACTGCTGATGGGGAAAAAAGGCTGCACTTCTGCTGGTGTAAATATCACTTTTCTGCCCTTATTTACATCCGATATCCCATCAGCTTCTACAACAGGAAACCGTAACTACGAATCAAGCCTCAACTCAAGCAAAGTCACTTGATAATCCAATTCTCACACCTGTTTTGTAATTTTGATTAAGATGATTACACGCTTCTAGTTAAGTGAAAAATTAGATTGTAATGCATTTATAACTGATTTTCCCGCCTGTTGGAATGAGATTGGCTGACTAACTGGACTGAATTACGCCTGTTGCTCGGGAATAGTTTGCCCTTGCTGTTTTTATTAGCAGTAGACGAGCATGCCTAAATGGAATTGTCACACAACGTGATTATAATCTGAGGTGGCACTCTGCTGGGGTCACGGATTTGTTTTCATCTCATCACCATCTACAGCACACTGAAAATGTAAACTTATGTTCATTAAAACCAATTCTGATGCAAGTTGCAAGCGAATGTCTTAATAATTGATGGTTGTCAGATATTAAAGAAAAAGAAAAACTGTGCTGGATGTCAACAATTAAAAGCGATCCAAGGGATAATTGCACTATGATATTTTTCCGTTATTGAATTTCTGACAGTTGTAAACACATGAAATATATTCTCTTCACTTGTGTGCTATGAGTAGAGATCCAGCAGAGTTGCCCTTTTCTTTTTAGATTCCCTGAAGTCAGTCTTAATGATGTGCTGGGTGAACTTGTTTTTGTCATTGTGTAACACATCTGTAAATTAGTTAATAAACATTATGTGTCTAATCAGTGTGACACAATTACTTTGTTTTGTTCTTTATTTTTCTTAAGGTCAGCTAATTCTATTTTGACATCTCACTGTTTCTTTGCCATAACATACTTCATGATAGCTAAATAAAACCTGACAACCTTGTGAATGATGACTCATCCATCAATTAAAGAAGTGTTTCATGGCTGGGAAAATGATCTTTTTTTTTTTTTTATAAAACTAGGATGTCTATGCGGAAGAATGATGCAAAAACTTTTGAGATTGGTGCTATATGACCATAGAAAAAAGAGGAAAAGGGCTGTGGCATTCGCTTTAACTCAAAAGGTAGAAAACCTACAGCTACCAGAATGCAATCTGGTCTGCACTTTCTGAAAGGCTTGGAACATGGGGGATGATTGATTTGTTTCACTGAGGCATCCAAAGTTCAAAATATATTCAAAAAGATATGGGTGAGAATTAAATTTTGCAATTTCTAAAAAGATCCTTAATAAAAGACCAAAACCAAATGCATCATTTATAAAAATGTTCTATTGTATATCTGCTGACATTCATTCAGGGCTGTCGCAACCGGACAGGCAAACTAGGCAATTGCCTAGGGCCCTGAGCTGGAAGGGGGCCCCCAGAGACGGCTGACATTGGTCCATATCAATGACAATATGATGGAACCCCTATAGACACTGCAACAATGACAACACGTTGGAATACCCCCTAATGGGGCCCCCTACTAGCTGCTGCTTGCGAGTGGCTAAGTAGGGTGACCAGACGTCCCGCATTGTGCGGGACTGCGCAGCATTTCTGTCTCCTTTCACACGTCACACAAATTGAGACCATGTCCCGCATGATTGGTTGCCACCCGCGCTAGCATTGTTGGAGTACTGTAGTACTACGGTACCTCACGGTACCACTACTGTGGGATAAGTTCAAAGTCCAATTGCAAGAGGGTGAGTGTCCATGTGCCATCCAATAACGGCACGCGTTGGTCACCTGGCACTCAATATGCTGCTTTCATGACTGCCCAGAAATACCTGAACAGCCGAGCCATGGCGGCAAACAGGTATGTGATGTGTCAGAGGAGAAACGAGCCGTTCACATTTCTCTTTGTGGCAGGTAACGGCCCACAAACCTCACCACAATCAAGGGACTGTTCTTTACTTGTCAGGGGAGGAGGGTGGCTGGTTGATTTTTATTTCATTTATTTATTTTATTTGGGGGGCCTCCAAGGTGCCTCTTGCCTGGGGCCCCCAGAGTGTCTTGAAACAGCCCTGCATTCATTCAAGCATACCCAAAAAGTTCTGTCAGGCCGAGGGCACCCATGGAGGCTAAAAAGACAACACCCAAAGAGCACCTGGGTGGACTGAAACCCTCCAACATTGTAGCTCCAGGTACATTGTGCATGTGTCATACCCCATAGCGGCCATGCCTTGAAAAGCCTTTGGTCCTAATTCAAACAATAAGCTGGTGCGGGCCAAAGCAGGTCCAAGACAGGCTCTTTAGCTCTTTTACAAAATGGCAATTATCCCTATGGGAAATGTGCCCAGTGTCACAATACATGGAAGACTCTCCTTTTCTTAGACGTCTAAGATCAGGCAAACGCTATCCTGTAAGACTTTTATTATGTGCAGCACAGACAATGTGATTTATTTATTAAAATGCCCATGTGATAAGATTTATATAGGTAAAGCAACACACACCCTGAAACAAGGATTAGTGAGCACACAAACTCAATCAGACGCAGTGATGTGAACTATCCTCAATGACTTTTCTCATCCTATCTCCTCTTCACGATTCCATGGCATTGAACACACTGAGCTGCCAACAGGGGAGATATGGAAAGAAAGATTATGCCAAAGGGAGCTTTTTCGAATTGGCACTCTAGATGCACTTCAGCATCCAGACTTCAATGATGCTAGGTTGTAATCCAAGATGTTTTCTGCTCTTCATTTCTTATAGAATGTGGAGTCTAAGGTTCATGGTGGTTCCAGTCTGAAACCCCTACATGGCCTTTTATTCTGCTTTTGTTCAGAGAGTGTTCTGGGTATCCTTGATTAATAATGGCTGCAGCCTGATCCCTCTTTAAGCCCCATTTGCTATGTGAAGAAAATTGTTTGGCACTATTGTATGGTGCTTGCAGAGTGTGTATGTGTTTTCTGTATCCACTGTGTTTATCCCCTTTTTTGTATTTTGGTATGTTATCACAAGAATGGCTATCATTTGTATGCCTCACAGTTTTCCATTCAATACTTGAAAACTACAATTCCCAGGAGGGGGAGCTTCGACCACCAAGGTTGTCCACACACAGGTGTGTTGCATTCTGCTAATGATTAGACTTGGATTGGTTACTCTTACCCACCTGTGCGTTATTGATTCATGTGTGCTCTGATGAAGGTCTGATAGACAGAGAGCTCAGAAGAAAGTGAAACACTGCATTGATGGAAATGTGCGGATATCTTTTTTTTTTTTTTTATGTATTGATGCCTCCAGCACCTTGGTGGTGTGGTGGTTGTCCTGCATCAGTTAAATGGTGAGCTTAAAATATGTCTCTGGAAACATTTAAGGCAGGAAACAGGCAATGCAGTAACAGAATCTTGATTCATATTTTATCAGCACTGCTTAGTTTTACCGTTCATCTCAGTTTTTTCAGGCTTCTGAAATAGTACGGCGCCCACTTCTTCATTGATTCTCATATCATGGCCAAACAGTGCACCAAAATATATTTCTAAAGACGGTTGCTAAGCTAACCTTGTTTTTGTCACCACGTAACACGTACCTGTAAATTCATTATCATGCAGTGTCCTGCTCAGTGTGACACACTTTTAAAGGACACACTTTTAAATAAGTTTGCTTTAGTTTTTTTGTCCTTTTGATGGGTAGCTGTGAATGGTGACTCATCCATCAACGATTAAATATTGATGTCTGTAGCATGCTGAGTCCTTGTAAACTCTTTTTATATACTCTGTCTATTCAACTTAATTCTCAAGGTTTTTCTACAATTTCAGATCAATCCTTGGAGTCGTGTTGGCAGGATTAACTGCTTCTTGGTACGGTCACCAAAGGTGAGCTGATCCCAGGTCAGGGTTCTGACCAATACTGATTCAAAGACCTCCATGGAGCCACGAAAAAACAAACCCCCTACAGCTACAAGGGTGGATTTCCAACAACCAACATGGGCACCAAAAGCCAAGGTTCACTGTGCATAAGTGAGTTTTGGTATTTTGGTTATTTGCAGAGTCATAGGTGTTTGCATCAGTGAGGATAATCTTAACTGAAGCAGGTTTTCCATCATTACTCTTGTTGCTTAACCACACCCGCCAACCATATCACCCAACACATTCTTATACTGACCACATCACTTGTCGACGTTTGGTCATGGACTTTTCATGTCAAGATATGAAGAAACTGTTTGCGTTGACTATTGATGTTCCATGCGACATGCATTTTGGGTTTTCAAAATACACTTTAATTTTCACAGGAAATGTACAATTTGCATGCAGTCTCTTTCAAAATAAATGCACTAAATCAGTACAA